TAAATGTTTCATCAAATGATAGTTCAAGGTAATACATATGATTAGTAAAGGTATTTTAGAAAAGAGAACACATATTTATTACAAGTAACTACCTCAACAAACTTTTTTAATTTACTCAAATTAGTCAATTAGTTTTTATATTTAAAACAGGAGGTAGTAACTTTCTACTCCCATTGTTCATCCAACTAGTGTAGAAAGTGTTTTCAACGCCAGATTTAAAAACAAGGGATGCAGAAAATAATTGAAGTAATTGTAAAATGGGGCAAGCAATTTGGATATGTCTGGTTATGATCATTTGGACTAGGCACGTCTTATTTGAATCATAAATAAGATAACCATTGCTTGGATCTTTAAATACATTATTCATTGAAAGATAGGAGAGTATATACATTTGGATGTTCTTGTTTGTGAGAAGTTCCAAGTTATGTTGAACTATCTTTCCTGCGTACGTACAACTCTCAAATCAGTTGTCTTTTTATTGTATTCAAGAAGAAAATGCAATTGAAAGAATTTTGATTTGAATATTATTGTTTATGATCATGGAAGGCCTCATCGAGACTAGCTTGTTTTTGAAACAAGCTTTGTGACAATTAATAGGTACATTAATAAGAGGTAAAAATAGAAAATAAATCTTTGGCCAAAAAAAAGAAAGAAAGAAAGAAAATAAAGCATTTGATAGTTTTTTAAAGCCTAAATTGACAGGACAAGTAGAAAAGAGATTTTTTTTTTATGATCAATTATTTTGCCAAGGCTCGCCGTAATTTCATTTATTAGAAATATATTTTATTAGTTTTATCTATATTAATCTATATATAATCTATGGTCTATATAGATAACTCACAATCAATAAATTTCTTACCACCTCCAATCCTAAATATAAAAGCCAAATAAGGAAGTAATCATTTTGGTGTTAAATATAACACCCCAATTACTTTATATCATAAATTTTGTTTTAAATATCTTTATTGATTGTACATAATAAGAAAGTTCTCATTTAGTTACAATACACATGTTTAGAAAATGATATTCTTAAAAGTCAGGTATATATTTATTATAAGTAACTAACTTAATTAATTTTTTTTATTATTTATAAATTAATTATCTAAGTTTTATATTAAGGATGGTATATAGTAATTTTATTTAACGCATTTGAGGCTTTTTTTGATCCACTCTCACCTGCCGAAGCTTTTGTCCTCCTTCGCCGTGGCTGCCCCTCCTTTTCTTGTACCATACATACCATTTTTTTTTTTAACCAATACATGCAAGTAGTTGTAACTAATTAATACTAACTCCAGTTTTTAATATAAGAACTAATTGACTAATTTAGTTGATTAATAAAATTAGTTACATTAGTTATTTGTAATAAATAGATATTATTTTTCATAAAATATCATTACTAATTAAGTATATTGGCTAAAATATCCTCCTCCATGAGTTATAAGACTCAAATCTATTTTTCTCTCTATTTTCTCCAATTCTTATTATGGGGCACTTCTTTTGGACCAAAAAAAAAATATCATCTTTATTATGAGTTGCTAGATAGGATATTAATCATAACTTTTTAAGTTTCCCTATTTAAAATATCATTAATTGCAACTTCTATGACTTCTCACATGTAATTTATGGTATTAAAGATAAAGATGGGCAAATTTAATTCCAAAATGTCATTAGATTAATTTTTTTAAAGATTTAAATATCATTCTTGCATATAATTATGACGAGTTAAGAGGATTTCATACTTCATATAGTATTTTCACTTGGAGAAATCCATTGCATGAAGCTTGAAAAATGAGGAAGCATAGATAGCATTATTTTTTTATACAGTTTACACTTTGTTTAGATATATGTTGAAGATATTGATGTTAATTAATTGTGCACATGTGAGAGATATAATTTGTACAGTTTTAATTTGCTTCTTCGAATATAATTACGGGTCACATGTGTGTGGGGTCCTTTTCATTTAGGTTGATAATATATGTCCATACATCCTAGACGCCTAGTACACAACTCGACAAAGACTTGAAGAAACAAACAAGATCCGTAATTTATTGATTCATTGGATACCAAAACTGATTCATTGGATTGAACGATAGAGATAGTTTTGTATGTTTTTCGACAACTTCTATTTGAGTCTTTTTCAGGGTGGGGATCAGTGATCATACGGTGAAATTAAAATTTTCAGCAGAAACATATGTTTTTTTTTAAAAAAGTAATACTCTATTTAGTCACTAATGTAAGATCCACTTGACTAATTTAGAGAGATTAAGAAAGCTACTAAATTATTTAATTACAACCTATGTTACATGATCTTTTTAAGATACTTACGTGAATCATTATATTATCTATCAAGTTATAAAAGCAGCAAATTAGTTTAAAAAAAACAATAAATATGAATATACTTTAAGATAATTTATTAACTTCATTAATCTTCTCAAATAAATTAATTGGATCTTATATTAAAAATCAAAGGTATTCCTCTAGTCCTAAATATAAGACTTATTTTATAGTGCAAATTGTACAATAAAATGGGTTTTATATTCAGGATCAGAGGGATTAATACACAATGGATCTTATACTTAAAATTGGAGGAGTATATTAGGGTCATGCAGTTTGGCCCAAATTATATTAAGTATCTCTTTAAATTTTAATTAAGCATGATACTGTATGTTGGACTTTTTATGACCATAATGAATACGTGAATACGCCAGTTCTACTTGAGAGGTGAAGAATGATTAAAAAAAACCAAATTAATATTCACGATATCTTTTTTTCTTAATCTTATGGTAGTACTTCATTAGTCCTTTAACATAAGTCCCAGTTTTTACATTTCTACATTCAAATTTTTAGGCGTAATCAATGCATGTTCCCAAAAACACCCCTTATATGGGAAATCTAAATTAAAAAGTTGCAATAACAAATGAATAGCATGAATATCTGTTATTATTTCTAGTATTGAAATTTTTCATTATATACTATTTAGTTATTATAAAAAATTTTAGTGATTATATTCTTTTCTTAAAATTTTATAGTAATGATAAATTCTCGTCAATATATACCGACCCTATTTGATTTTGACTATTGAACTAGCTAGTTAAATGGTGAAGATCATATGTCATGCTTTGTGAGATTTTTTTTAGTCAAAACAAAGTGCAAATTATAAAATCACCAAAAAGATATAACTAAAAATTAGTTAAGTTTATTATTTACAACAAATATATGTCAAACTTTTAAGAATATCCTTTTCTAAACATGTATATTGTAACTAAATGAGAACTCTCTTGTTACATGCAATTAATAAGAATATTCTGAAAAAAAATTAAAAATTTATGATGTAAAGTGATTGAGGTATTATATTTAAGATTAAAGTGATTAATTCCTTATCTGGCTCTAATATTTAGGATTGGAGGTAGTAAGAAATTTATTGATTATAAGTTATCTATATATAGACCATAGATTTATATAGATAAAACTAATAGAATATTTTTCTAATAAACGAAATTCCGGCGAGCCTTGGCAAATTAATTGATAATAAAAAAGAAAATCTCTTTTCTACCTTTCCTGTCAATTTAGGCTCTAAAAAAGCTATCAAATGCTTTATTTTTTTTTAGGCCAAAGCTTTATTTTCTATTTTTACCTCTTATTAATGTACTTTTTTTTTTGGGCCAAACTCTTATTAATGTATCTATTAATGGTCAAATAGCTTACCTAAAAAACAAGCTAGTCCTGATGAGCTCTTCCATGATCATAAGCAATAATCTTCAAATCAAATTTCTTTCAATTGCATTTTCTTCTTGAATACAATAAAAAGATAACTGATTTGAGACTTGTACGTATGCAGGAAGGATCTTTCAACATAACTTGGAACTTCTCACAAACAAGAATATCCAACTATATATACTCTCCTATCTTTCAATGAATAATGTATTTAAAGATCCAAGCAATGGTTATCTTATTTATGACTTAATGGGTATCTTGTAAGAAATATGTATTGTCTTTTTTAAAATACCTTTATTAATCATGTGTATTACGTAGAACTATCATTTGATAAAATATTTAACATGTGTAATTACTATAAGGATTATGTTTGAGAAAAATATACAAATATAAAAGATAAAATAGATTGAGGTTTAATATTTAGGATCATATTGAGAGTCAAACTAGTTTTTATATTAAGGATTGGAGTATTACCTTTAAACAAAATTAGATAATTATATGATTATCTTATTTAAGTTAACTAACGCAAAAAGTGTCTCGTACGAAAATGTCACTGATTACACTTACCATCCCGTTGCAACAACTGGTGCAGAAGGATTGATGCAAAAATTTTATTTTGCGCTAGTGTATTATCAAATTATGTATATAATTAACTATTTACCAAATCATTTTCAAATTGTTCACTTCAGGCACGTTAAAATGCTGTAGAACAGCAAGATCAATTATATCTTGTCCTTCAAAGGTCTGAACACTTCCATGTGACATTGCATTATTGAAATAAAAATTCCATTTCTCTTTGGTCAAATGAAAACATTTATGATATGACGTGCATTTTGGGACAAACATAAAAGAAAATAACGATATTAGTGATATCTTCAGATGAGAAAAATCATAAAGTGAGGCAAAGATGAAGACAAAAACTAGTCCTTTTACATCAATCTGTGATTAAGATTTACCGTCGGTGTCTAACAAATGGGAATTTCAACCAAAAAAAAGTTAGGGATCACGCATATTTCAAAGAAAAAAAAAAAGGCCTGTGCATGGCTCTATCTATAAAGCACTCGCCTTTGGCTCTGTAATAAAAACCCATAACTTGTACCTCTCACTGCCATTTTTCCTCCAAAACAAGGTACCTCTCCCTCTTCCTCTTCTTCTTCTCTTCTCTCTCTCACTCTCTCTCTGTGACTTTATGTTCCTGATAAAGAGTTATTAAGAGAAACAGTTAGAAAGAATATTCATTGTCTCTATACATTTTCACTGAAAGTGTTTAAATTTTTCTCGTTTGGCGGAAACCAATTAGAGAAAGCAAATGGAGATGGACTTAACACCCCAGAAGGCGGTACCCATGTTTGAAGGAGATGGTGGATCTTACTACTTATGGCCACCTTCTCAGGTACCTGCTCTGGCTAGCAACAGCGTTGGTGCTAGTCGATTTGTTCTTCAACCTCAAGGCTTTGCTCTCCCTCACTATGCAGATTCTTCCAAAATTGGCTATGTCCTCCGAGGTAGCTTAAGAACTTTGTATCTGTATATATAAGCATTCACCCTTTTATATCAATATGTTAACCTTAAAGTTTTGATCTTGAACGCAGGAACTGATGGCGTAGCTGGGATGGTGCTCCCAAACGCTGATAAAGAGGTCGTTTTGGGGCTGAAGAAAGGAGATGTAATCCCAGTACCTTTGGGAGCACTCTCATGGTGGTTCAACAATGGAGATTCTGAACTGATCATAGAGTTTCTGGGTGAAACATCTCAGGCTTATGTTCCTGGGCAGTTCACTTACTTCTTTCTTAGTGGAACTCAAGGAATTATGGGCGGCTTTTCCTCTGAGGTCATAACCAAAGCTTACAATTTGAACAACAAAGAAGCAAACAAACTCACAAAGAGCCAACAAGGAGCTTTGATCATTAAGCTTCAGAAAGGCCAACACAAAATGCCAGAACCCCAGATGGACAAGACCAAACAGATGGTATACAACATTGATTCTGCAGAACCAGACCATGGGATCAAAAATAATGGAGGGTTGGTCAAAACTTTGACTGACTTAGATTTCCCTTTTGTTGGAGATGTTGGGCTGAGTGTGATCAGAGTGAAGCTTGAACCTAATGCTGTTAAGGCACCACAATATCTAACCAACCCTGCAGTTCAATTGATTTATGTTGCTAGAGGAAGCGGGAAGATTGAGATTGTGGGGTTGAAAGGCAAGCTTGTGTTGGAATATAAAGTTGAAGCTGGTCATTTAACTGTTGTGCCTAAGTTGTTTGTGGCTGCACAGATTGCTGGCGAAGATGGAATGGAGTTCTACTCTATCGTCACAACAAAAAAGTGAGTTCATCTCTTCTAATACTAAAGTGAACGATGACCTGTTTGGATTTGCTTGTGATAATAAGTACTTATAAACACTTTTATGTAAGCCACACTACAAAAAAAATATGTCAATTATAGTGGTTAAAGTGACACATTTCTAGCGGTTCTAACCGCAACAAATAACATTTGTAGCGGTTAACAAAACCGCTAGAAAACCAGGCGCAAGAAAAAATTTCTAGCGGTTACGGCAACCGCTACACAGCATGGTCAAAACGCTAGAGAATTTCTAGCGGTTCATAACCGCTAGAAAATGCTTAAAGGAAAAAAATTTCTAGCGGTTTTATAACTGCTAGAAACATTCTAAGTCAAATCTCATTTTGCCGAGAATTAAATAATTTCATTAGCGTGCCAAAATTTCTAGCGGTTATAGAACCGCTAGAAATTTCTGGGAAATTAAATTTTCCCGCCAATTAAATTTTTGGAATGGCGCCAAAAAAATTTTCTAACGGTTTGAACCGCTAGAAATTTTGGCGCAAAATTTAAATTTCATGAAATATTTGTAGCGGTTTTGAACCGCTAGAAATTTTTACCGTGCCAGAAAAAAAATTTGTGGTTTTTCATATTATAATTTTACAAACCATTAAATAAATTATGTTGAAGAATTTTTGTTAATTTGTATAATTAGTAATATGTTACATTTTATATATTTAAATTTTGTAATAAACAATATGTAATTAAATTATGAGTGTGTCAAAAGAAGTGAATTTAATTTAATAAGATAATTGAATTGAATATTTAATAAGATAGTTGAATTGAAGATGAGATAGTTTGTAATATTGAACCTATAGTGTTAAGTTGAGGAGTATTTGAATCAGTTGAGGAGGGTATGACAAGTGTGAAGAAGAAAAATCTGAAAGAAAAGGAGAAATAAATATGTTAGTAAATTTTAAGTAAAAACAAATAAAAGATACAATGAATTATAAAATAAAATTCACTTACCATACAGTAAAGAGAAAGAAACCACCATATGAGAGAGTAAGAAAAAAAGAGAGAATTATGAAGAAGAATAGGAGAGGAAAGAAAAGAGATGGAGTAAATGAATGTAGAGAAGATATGATATTTATAGAGATCAGCGACACATTTGTAGCGGTGTTTTTGTAGCGTTTTATTGCATTTTGTAGCTGTTAGTCATTTTCTAGCGTATACCTAACCGCTAGTATTTTGTAGCGGTTATATTTGTAGCGGTTAATAACCGCTACAAATTATAATTTTGTATAATAAATTTGTAGCGGTTATGTAACCGCTACAATTTTTTTAAAAAAAAATCTGTACGAATTTTAATTTATACATATGTATTTGTAGCGGTTAATAACCGCTACAAATTAGAATTCTGTATAATAAATTTTAATTTATACATATGTATTTGTAGCGGTTATGTAACCGCTATAAATTTTTTTTATTTTTAAAAAATCTGTACGAATTTTAATTTATACATATGTATTTATAGACGGAAAATTTTTTTAATAATAAAAATTTTGGATGCTGCTATTCTCCATTATCATCCGGCCTGAAAGGACACATTTTAAAAAAATTTGTTAAATTTATAATGTATTTGGAAAAAATTAGTAATTAGTAGTTAATTATTTAAATAATTTAAGAAAAGACGTGTACCTGATAATTGGCAAATCATCATCTCCTTGAGGAAAGAAGTCTTTGAAATTCGAGGGTTGGAAGGGTTCACTGTCGTAAATAATGTCACCATCACCCATATCATAAAGATCCCGTGGCTTGAGGTGAACGACCATATTCCAGTCTTTATGTTTCTCCTCCTCGACATAGTAAATTTGGTGTGCCTCAGAAGCAAGGATATATGGCTCATCATCTTCAGATGCCCCCGTATGAATAAGTTTAGAGAAATTAACTGAGGTGATGCCCAAATGGTCAGTAGCGAGTCCCTGTGAAGTTGTCGTATTTGCCCAGGAGCACTTGAACAGTGTCACAGTGAAAAGCTGGTAACTCAACTCAATAATGTCAATTAGCTTTCCATAGTAAGTGACGCCTCCAAAGCGCATATCGCCATCACTACTGCTAGCATAACATCTCGTTCCGAATGTCCCGCAAACTCCAGAGTTTTGTGTGAGCAATCCCTGATCACGTCCAACCGTACAGAACTTGAAGCCGTCGACATTGCACGCGGTAAACCTTCGTGCATGGTCTAACGGACCGAGAAAAAGAGCTTTGAATTCATCTGTGTATGGGCTGTTGTCATTACGTATTCGACGTGTAAACCAACTGGGAAACTCTTTGTGGACTCTTTTATCAATGTCAGCAGAACGCGCATGCCCCCGTAGCTGACGCCTGAGGTAACTCCTAAACTCACTACAGTAAAGTGTAATTTGTTAGAAGAGTCAGTAAGAAACAAATATAAAGTGTAAAAGCTAGTGAGCTTATATGATATATATACTTACTGCATGAAGGGTTCAACTTGGCTGCAATTTATCAAAACGTGTCTGTGTGCCTGGAGTTTCTCTGTAGGAGTGAGTCTGAAGAATTCATATCCTCCAACTGGTTTCCCAACAGGAGGAAATAAAGTTGACGTGGAAGGACCAGGAGGAGAATCATCTACGCGACGCGAGCGGTTAAAAGATGTCTCCATGTCATCAAAGTACCTTGAACAGAAAGTTAGGACCTCATCTTCGGAATAACCTTCTGCTATTGACCCCTCAGGCCATGCCTTATTCCTAACATATGATTTTAATTTTTCCAAGTACCTATAAGTTAAAATTGCATTAATAATTACGAGTAAATGAAAGAACAATATGAAATTTAAAGAGGCGAGAATAAAAGATACTCTAGTACCTCTCTATAGGGTACATCTATCGATAGTGAACTGGGCCAGCAACCTTTGCTTCTCGAACAAGGTGGACAGTCAAGTGAACCATAACAGTAAAGAATGATGGAGGAAATATCATCTCCAAGTGACAAAGTGTAAGAATAATTTTATTTTGCAGCTGATCAAGCTCTTTCGCTATCAAGACCTTCACACACAACTTCTTGAAAAATGAACATAATTCTACTAAAACCACTGATACATCAGAAGGAAGTGTGTTTTTCAAGGCCAATGGAAGTAACTGTTGCATAAGAACATGAGAGTCATGACTTTTCAACCTAGTAACCTTTCGAGCCTGCAGATCGATACACCTTGAGATGTTGCTAGAATATCCATCTGGTACTTTTACGTTCTTCAACGTCGAGAGGAAGATATCCTTGTTCTGCTTTGTCAAGGTGAATTTAGCTGGTTGAAACTTGTCGTTTTCATCAGGCCAAGCCTCTTCACGAATTCCCCAGGCCCGTAAATCTTTTCTAGCTGCGAGATGGTCTTTGGACTTTCCAGCTTCATTGATCAACGTATATAGCACATTATCGCACACATTTTTTTCAATGTGCATAACATCCAAACTGTGTCGTAGCAAATTAGATTCCCAATAAAGAAGAGTGAAAAATATGCTTCTCTTCCGCCATTGCATAGGTTGCGTATCAGATGTCCCACGAGATCGTCGTCCCAATCGTTCGGGATCCACACTCTTACCAAACTCGACATTAACATCTTCTAACTGCCGCAAAATATCCATACCAGACAAAGTAACAGGAGGATCTCTCTTCTCCTATTTCCCATCAAAGCGAATCCGTTGCAATCTAAGTCTGTGCTTGGAATCAAGAAACCGTCGATGTCCTATGAAGCACCACTTGCGACTGTGTGGAAGGCGACATGGCACAGAATCAAAATTGCACTCAGGACAGGCCAACCCAGTATGCACATTCTAGCCAGACAAAGTTCCCAAACCGGGAAAATCACTTATTGTCCACATCAAGGCTGCACGGAGATTGAATAGTTGCTTGTCATGTAAGTCATATGCCTCAACATCATTCGTCCATAGGTCGATCAATTCGTGTATCAACGGTTGTAGGTATACGTCAATATCATTTCCTGGTGCTTTCTTGCCAGGAATGATCATGGAAAGCAAAAAAAAGCTCTGCTTCATGCACATCCAAGGTGGTGAATTGTATAGAATTAACACCACCGGCCAGATACTGTAACTTGTGCTCATGTTTCCGAAGGGATTGAAACCATCGGTTGCCAATGCAAGACGTACATTTCTAGGATCATTGGCAAAGTCTGGAAATTTCGCATCAAATGCTTTCCACGCCTCCGAGTCTCGTGGGTGCCTTAACCTACCATCTAGATTTTCCTCAGTCGCATGCCACCTCATGTGCTGAGCCATTTTTGATGATATATACATTCTTTGCAACCGTGGTTTCAAAGGAAAGTATCTAAGAAAATAATATATTAAAAATTTAAAATACCGAATATTTAAATACTAAATATCGACTCAATTTAAAAAAATTGATGACATAATCAATAGTTTTAAGAATTTCAAATATCGAATATTTAGAGACGGAACAAGTAACACACTGTAATAATTTGTACCTGAGAATTTTGGCCGGTTTCTTCTTTTGCTTCTTATCCTTCCGTACCGACTTATAGCGTGACGTCTTGCATCTCGTACAAATCTCTTTGTTGGCATCATCTCCCCAGTATAGCATACAGTCGTTTGGGCATGCATCTATCTTCTTATAGTTCAAGCCAAACTTGTTAATAATCTTTTTTGCTTCGTAAAAAGATGGAGGGAATTCAGCTTAGGGGAAAGCATCTCCCAGTAATTCTAGCAACATGGACATTGCCTTGTCAGTCATACCGCACAAGCATTTGATGTGATACAGCCTCACCAAGAATGACAACTTTGAATACTTTGTGCACCCAAAATAAAGAGGCTTGTCAGCTTCGGTCATGAGGTCAAAAAATTCCCGAGCAGTTTCGTTTCTTAGAAACTCCGGTTGAGGTCCCTCTACTTCATCTTCATTGGGATTCGGGCTTTCGTGAACACCAAAAGCATCACGCACAGCATCATTCACGGCATCGGCTTCATCCACTCGAACTCCCATCCGTGAAATTACTG